ATTGTAAAAAAAAGGAACTTGTAGCTTACACATAAATGAAAAGAGCCATCTTTCTTTTCTCTAAACAATACAGGTGCGGCCACTTGTGGTCTAACTGGCTCTATGAACCCCCATTTCAAGTTTTTGTCAATACATTTCAACAGTTCCTGCATTTCGCGTGGGGTTATTGAATAAATTTGGGGTTTGGGGAGTTTTACCCCTGGAAGGATCTCAATGCTACAATCAGTAGCACAGTGGGGGGCGGGGGGGGGCAATTTATCGGAAGACTTTTCACTGAAAACGTCTTTAAGGTCCCAGTATTCTTTAGGGATTTTCTTTTCCCCCTCAATTTACTCCTGCGCTGCAGCTGCTAGGTTAGGTTTGGCATTGGCTATGTGGGAGACCCTCCCCTTGCCCTCCGGGGGTTTAGCGGAATGGATGCACAACCACCCTTCCCTCCAGTTCGCATGTGGGTTCCATTTCCGTAGCCAGGGTAATCCTAGTATGAGGGGCAGATCCATCCCAGGTGCAACGATGAAACTTAAGGTTTCTTGGTGATCTCCCATCCACATATCTACTGGTTCAGTCACAAATTGGGCAGGAGCCCCCCCAACTATTGACCCATCCAACTGGCAAAAGGCAATGGGCACTTTCAAAGCTCTCAGTCTTAAGCCCAATTTTTCCACAACTTCCGGGCTAATTATGCAATGTGTGTATCCAGAGTCTAAAAGGGCCAGCATTTTTGCTTGGGCTCCAGAAGAGGGCACTTTAAGTTCTACTGGAATGGTCATGGGGGCTGATCGGGGACTTACCAGATGGTCGTCATCAGAGTCAGTTTCACTTTCCCTCGAGAGAAAGGAGGGTTCTTCTTCCCCTTGGTTGGGAGGGAATTCTTCAACAGGATCCACCCCTTTCATGGCGGTGTCCTTTAGTTTTCCAGGCTGTTTGTCTGGCTTCCTCTCCCCAGTGGCAGGGTGCTTTGGCCCATTTTTGAGCGGCAGTTCCCTGCTCGGTGCCCCTGCTTCCCGCATCGGAAACAAGCAGTAGACCAGGGCTTGCTTGCAGACCAAGTTTTTCCTCCCTTCGGAGCTCCTTTGGAGGGGTTTAGTGGGGGATTTTTACCTTTCTCACTGTCTTCCTGGTATTTATCCCTGGCTAGGTCGATCTCCACGTCTGCTGCTAATTCATACCAGCGTTGCAGGTTGCAGGGGTGGGGGGTGGGAGCTGTTAACACAGTTCTGGTATATATCTTGGTTCAGGCCATCCATAAAACTGTCCACCAGAGCCTCCTCCGACCATTCCCACATATACACCAACAGCTCACAAAACTCTTGGATGTATTGTATTGTATTGTATTTTATTATTTGTATGCTGCCCTTCTCCGGGAGGTCTCAGGGCGGCGAACAATTCAANTTCTTCTCTTGCTTTGTTTTGTATGTGTTGTTTTGTTTAAAAAGAATAAAAATATTTTTTTTTTAAAAGAATAACATCTAAGAATGTGGTTGGGAGTGATATCCACATAATTTCGCTCCCTTTCTCTGTTTCATATTCATCTCACTACTCCTTGCTGATGCTTTTGTTTTTTCACTGGGCATCCCCACACTTGAAAACAGTTAGAAATTCAGTCTGTCTCCCATCCCTACGTACAGGAAAGAGTGGAAATACCAAAGAAGCAAGGCATGCATATTTATTCTCCCAATTTCTTCTCCCTCCCTTTGATGTTAAATATGCTCACTTTGGAGGTTCAATTCTTGAACAGCCCCATAATCCTCCACTTGGAAGAAAGACTGATTGATCTGAGAAAGAACAACAGAAGACTAATCAAAAGCTCTTTGAGGTTCATTTATGATTTTTTTAAAAGCACAACAAAAAAGATCATGGTCTTTGAGAAATTGCTCATTATTGTCAAACAGCAGGTGGACAGCAGACTGTACTTGATCTTGTTATAATGGTTGTTTTGTAAAGTAAAGCTAAAGGTTTCCCCTATCCAGTCAGTTCTGACTCTAGGGAGTGGTGCTCATCTCTATTTCTTAGCCCAGGGAGCCAGCACTGCCCAAAGACATTTCTGTGGTCATGTGGCCAGCATAACTATGCAGCGAGGCATTGTTACCTTCCCTTTGAAATTGTACCTTTTTATCTGTTCATATTTGCATCAGCGGTGGGATTCACTTACCTTCCCTAGTGGTTCGCAAATGCTCACACATACCTCGTCTGCACATGCGTACCACCTTTGCAGTGCTCGCACATTACATCAGGGCAGGTGGGCTGAGCCTCCTGCAACTGCCGCTACTGGTTCGCCCCAACTGGAGAGAACCAGCTGAACACCACCTCTGATTTGCATTCTTTCAAACTGGTCTTGAACCTGAACTGCAAGCTTTCCAGTTGACAAGCTCAGGATCTTTAACCACAAAGCCATCATTTGTGCGTAAATGTATAAATATGTTTGCAACATGCATATAGACTTAATTATAGTTAATTTTTCCTCATGGAAGGTGTAAATACTCTTTTGGATTTTTTTCTCTTCCATTCTGTTTCCAAAGAAAGTATGAATGGTATCGTTTTTATGTAATTAACTAATAAAACCAGACATTGTTCAAAAGTGTGTTTCCCCCCTCCTGTTTCAGTATTTAGCAAGAGAATTAAAACATCTTTAATAAAAATAACCGGGGGGGGGGAATGAAAAGTGTCAATATTTGCACTGTTACTGCCAGTCCATGATTGATAATGTCACAACAATTTATTTATCCATCACTTTCAAAAGGTCTTAAAGGATCTTCATCCGCTCAACCCCCACAGGAAATATAGAGCTCGGCAGTACTCATTTCATGCCAACTGAGAACTTTTCCCCTTTGATAAACAAGTAGCAGCTGTTCATGCTGTCCTATAAACTCTCTCTAGAACAATATAAAAACATAAATAGGTATAATCCACCTGTGCAAACCTTGTCAAAGTGGATGGAAGTTCCTAGAAAACAATGCCAGCCACTAGGATTGTTCCAAAATAGATTCACAAGTAAAACATTACTGGGAAAATGCAAAATATATCCTCAGATAATAACATTCTGCCACAAAACAAAAACACCATCTATAAACAAAATCAGAATAACGTTTAGAAAAATAACAACTGTGAAATAACACAGCCTGCAGCTGAAAGGACAGTTACGATAAATATCTTTGCAACATGCCAGAAGAAGAGCAAAGACAGCTGGATCACATGTAAGTCTATCTAGCCTAATATTTTGTTCCCACGGTTGCCAAGTAGATGTCTCTGGAAAGAACACAAGCAAAACATGAGTGCAGGCACATCTTTCTACACTTTCCCCCAACAATTGGCACCGAGAGTTACATTGCCCTCTTTTTTTGGAAGGCAAGATATAGACGTTAAAACTAGCAACTATCAGTATCTTATCTTCCACAAATATTTCTATCACTATGCTTTGTAATTGTGAATAGATATGATAACCTTTATTGTCATTTTTTTTCTGTGGGACTCTGGCACACATTAAAAATGAAATTCTGTTGCTTGCTCTAGAAAATGTACATATATATAACACACACAGATATGCTATATACATACATACGTATATACCTACACCCTAACATATAAATACATATAAGTATTAATCACTTTCCAACTTGAATACATAGCGAAAAAGGAAGTTTGAGAGTTCACAAGGTTGATTCTATATGGAACAAAATCGTGGAGGAAGCTGGATGTTCTGCTTCTGATACTACAAAGTCTTCTCCAAGAAGGTAGCAAGGAATGGCACTATTTCTAACTTATCCTGATCAAGGCGCCCTTCTCCATATTTATCCTGCGTTTCCTAGGTTTCAGTGAAGCATTCGATTTCTTTGGACAGCACTCATTTATTTTATGGTATGATTAAGTTCCTTATTCTTTTTTCTTCAAAGGGCCCTTAATTTCACATTTTTGTGTTGTAGTTAGTCTTGTAGTTAGTCTTGATTCCAGTGGTGGGATTCAGCCAGTTTGCCCCATTTTGGGAGAACCCGTTGTTAACTTTTTGAGCAGTTTGGTGAACTGGTTGTTGAAAGAAATCATTAGGGCAGAGAACCTGTTTTTAAATTATTTAAATCCCACCACTGCTTGATTCCTTATGTTTAACATTTAGCCCCCTTCTATATTATATTGCTTTTGAAGAAAAGTTTCTGAGTCATGGTAATGGAACATTATGTGGTATTCCCAGTGGTTATACAGTAAATAGCATTGTTTTTTTCTGGTAAATCAAAGCCAGGTCACATCGAACCTGTTTATAAATGGGAGTTTGATTTGTTACTTCACTTGTTAACCCTTAATATTGAACTGCAATTAACTGAATAACATTTATACCCCTTCAATTCCAATTGTTTGTTCCTAACCATATAATTTATTAACAAAATAAATAGCACTAGCTGGAATAAAAAATTATTTTGTTGGAAGAACTGAGAAAATATCACATGGTCTAAATTGGGGGGGAAATGGCTATGTGTAAGAACTGCCTTAAATAGACATAAAAGATTGGTTTTTCTAATCTAGCATTTCTCATCACTCATTTTGGATAGAAAAACTTCCAGCTCTGATTCCCAGTATATTTTAATGGAAATTCATACTGTACCTTAAGAAAGGAATCAATAACATTTTAGGAAGAAGATATCATTGTAAAATTTTGTGCAGTGCTGTGAGTGCCAAAAATAATTTAAAAAAATAAATATTAAAAAATTTAAAAATCAAAATAAAGTACAAGTTTTGCAAATATAATATTGTGATATAATGAAGAAGATTTTTTTCTTACTCCATCCTTCAGAACTTTAGATTTCCCTAAGACTTAATTTTTTAAAATTCCTAACATTTCTCTTGAATAGCAATTTTATATATGTTTAAATAAGTTTCTATTATGTCAATGACATATTAGCTGAGATATTCATTTATGTAATTTCCAGGTGACTTATAGATGGCAATCATTGTCAAATATAATTAATAGAGCTACAATATATAATTACTCATTAATGTGATCATAATAATCTGCAAATCAAGGAAAAGTTCATGCTACATCATTAAATCATAACATCTGTGAAGACAGCTTTCATTTTGAAGAAAAAGCATTTCACTTACTTGGTAGAACACAGGCTTATAATTAGTTGAGAAATTTTGCAAGAGGTCATCACCAGTATAGTCTATAGGAAGGTTTTCCACACAAAGGCATTTTGAATGTATGAGTTCTGCAGTTATTTGATTAGCATCCATCCATTGTGCAAAAAGGACATTTTCACCTAATGGTTTGCCAAGAAGGTCCAACCTAGCCTTTGCTGCAGAATCCTTTTTCATGTATTCCACAAAACCATAGCCCTTGGAATAGCCCGTGACTTCACTGTATACCAAGAAGTGTCTCTCAACATTCCCATAAGGTCGCACTAGCTCTTCAAACTCTTGCAACGTATAGAAAGGGGGCAAATTGGTAATGCAGAGCAGGGCATCGGTTGGCTGAAGCTGCAGTGATATTTCTTTTCCTCGGAGGGAATGTTGGTGAAATAGCCGTATTGCACTCTGAGCTTGGTCCCCATTCAACAGAGTAACAAAAGCTGAAAGACAGCAAATCAGACAAAAGTTTTATGTAAACTCCATGATCGGGTTGGGCAGGTTTTAAGCTCTTGGGAACTATCAAGCCTTGTGGTTTCTAAGTCCAAGGTGTCTTGAAACTGATATTATTTCACAACCCTTTCACACACAAAAACATTTCCCTGCACTCTCCATTTCAGCAATTCTGATTTAGGAAAGATAGTGTTATTTTCTTCTGTTTTTTTACCCTCAACTGTGCTGACACAACTCTTTTGTTTGCTCCTGAACTAAGAAAAGCCCAATAATTTCTTAAAGATTAGTTGAGTAACTTTTGTGAAACTCCAATATATGCAGAAGGCATAACATATAGTAATAGTATTTTTTTCTTAATTTAAAATCAATATTACAAATTCACGATATTAGCCATTTTCTTTCACTTGGCTCAGATAGATCCTCTCCTTTGGACTTTTTCAGGATTTGCTATTCTTCCCATCATTTTCTGGCAATCCACCAGAAGATCAAGAGGTGGAACCACCTCGAGATATAATTCATGGGAGGTATACATGGGATACGGGGTGGGGCACAGTAGGAAAGAAGGAAAGAAAATCTTTTTATATAACTGTTGCATTGGCCAAAAACGTACAATTTGCAGTTTTATGACATGACATTTTTACAATCAAAGTATAAAACAATGCTGATTTTTAAAATAAAATTATATTCATATGTATTAATACTGTCAAGCAAATTCTAGGAATAAACCAAATTCTAAACTAGCATTAAAGTCTGTTCATTCTTCCCAGGTATACATTCCTCCTTATTACGTTTGGTTAAAAACTGGCATGATGTCATTAGAAGGTAAAAGTGTTGCCTGGCACATATAACCTTTTAAAGTTATTGCCGACATATCATATTTCGATCAGACTTTTCCTGAAATTTAATTCCAGGAAGCTCTGGTTGCAGGATTATTGTTTAAAACCAAAAACATCTTTTATTTCTGCATGCCTATTAATCATCTGTTTCTACTGAACACTAAAACTCAACTGGAAGCAAAATAGAATGGTAAGAAGATACTACTGAGAATCAGGAATGTTAACATCTTCTTTCAAGCCTGAATAATCAAAGGTTATACTATCCTCTAGTCTACTCAAGAGGTTTACTAAATAAAATATAAATGGAAGTCTCACAGAGGAACTGGTTACAATGAAAGGCAAGTTTCTTATATCAGAGCTATGCAACCGACCCCTCTGAGTCCTTTCAAAGTTATAGCTAAAATGACTTCTGAATATAGCATAAGAACATTTTAAAAACATAGGAAGTACTTCTTTTAATAAAGGTTCATAGCAGCTATGTGTGCACATCCATATTTTTTTTTTGACATCAATACACAATTCATTCAACTTCCTAGTCTAGATTACTACCTTTGAATTCTGGAGATCTTCTAAGTTCTAATCACGTCTTAATGTTTTAAGAACAGCTAACAAACAATCATATGACTATTACTTAATTTGAATTTTTTTATCCTTTTCACATTCTTGTTGGAATTCATTCCCAATACGTCAAAGACCAAACACAGTCGTCATCCTGGAAAACATTTTTTTCTTTCTATTTAATTTAATTTTCGGAGATTGTCTGGACAAGTCTCTACAAGATTTCATGGCAAGATTTTCAGAAGTGGCTTGCTGTTGCCTCCTTTGTAGGCTTGAGAGAAAGTGACTGACCCAAGGTCAGTCTCTGTGCCTAAAGTGGAACTCAAACTCATAGTGTCTTGGCTTCTAGCATTAATTACTATATAACTGTATACCATTTTATATACAATCCTGATTTATTTGAGATAAAGAGAATGGAATAGCTTATGGAAAGAAGCTATTCCAAATCAGGCAGCATATTTTGGATTGTAGACAAGGTTTTCAGTGTCAAACAATTCTTCAATTCCATTACATCCCTATAAAATACCATCCCTGCTATCTATTATGTCCTCTGGAGAGGAGTTAAAAAAAGTCTGGCAGAGGAGAAGGGAGTAGGATTCTTGTAGAGGTTGGCCTTGACACCAAATATCATCCTATTATAGATTCAAATTATTTTTTACTCATAGTATTATACAAAAAGTTAAGAAGGGCAGTTTTTAAAAATAGTGTTAGTTAATGTTGATAGTTAAGTTACCCACCATAATTGTCCAACAGTAACAATGATAGCCAGTAAATTGCACTTCAGAAGTTCTGGACTACAACTCCGCTTAGTTTCAACTAGTTGTTGCCTCCAAACTGTAAAAGGCCTTTTAACCATCATTGAATTCTACCCTCATGTATCAATAATGCAAAAGCACTCTAAAATGGATTGCCACTCATTAATTTTTTTAACAAAGATTAAAATTCATTGATGTTACGCACTAATAGACTAATAATTACAAAATTCAATGTGACGTTAATTTAGAGGAAAGATTTGCCTTTGGTGAGGTGGGAAACTATATAAATTTAATGAATAATAATTTGCTAGTAGCATTTCCTTTTCAGTGGTCACTTTGCGCACCCAAGTTATTGATACTGAACAATTAAATTATGAGTATGCATTTCTCAACTGATCCCTAGTAGAATAAATACTAATTGCCCTTAATTAAAAAAATATATGGTTTCTAACGTTACCTAATTATAAATTTTTTCATTGTAGTGTTTATATAAGAGTATAACTTCAGATTTAATCATGTTAGACTGATTCAAATTTTTTTTGTTTGCCATTGTTTGTTATTCAAACAAACTAGTACAATATGATTTGTGCATATTAAGAAAAGAATCTGTACAAGGAAGTAATATGAGATAAATGTCAGTTTCTCTCTCTCTCTCTCTCTCTCACACACACACACACACACACACACACACAAGCACACTGAAGCAACAATTTAATTAAATTTATTAAATTAAATTGTTATTAAATTGTGAAATTTAATCAAAATAGCTAAATCTATTAGCATAACTATTATACTGCAAGTTTTTACCTGTTCTTTTATGTTTGTCCACATAGCAATACTTCAGCTCAAAGTCTTTTAATAACTCATGGATTTCCTAAAAGAAAAATAATGCATGATTAAATACAAACTCAATGGAATGATCCTTTTTATTTCAGCTTAAGAGACTTGAAAACATTCCAGGTAAAAATTATTCTGGAGACATGCTGCCAGAAAATATTAGTTAAGTATCAATATCAGCATGATGCAATTCAGCAGTAAGCAGGACCCTCTGAAAAACAGAATTCACTTCATCTTATTTAAAAAAATATTTAAAATATTTGCCAAAGATTAGCTTTCAAACACAATTTTGAAGTTGAAAGGCATTTCCTCACAGTGATATTTTCTGTCAGCTATATTACATGTTCTTTGTAGAAAGAGAATACCAGAAATACCAATCCTCAAAATCTAAACTTAACCACTCGTGTTTCATGAAATGTATGAAATTAAACCTCAGGCCAATTAACTGCCACAACATCTGCGACCAGAATTTAACATCGTTTGACATTTTGAAAACCTGCTTTTTATTATTGTGAAATAAGGCTGCATAGAAGTAGAAAATTTTCCCCTATTTCTATCAACTTTCTCTTCTGCTAAAAAGTATTTTTCCTCCTCTATAATTAGTTGTATTGTGCAAATCCTCATGGAATACAATGACTAGCATCTGCATCCTGTTCCTCTAGTGTATTGATAAGAAAAGGACCAGCAGAGGAAAACATTTGAATGCTGCAGTTTCCAGGGTTAGACTTCCAGCTAAATATTGATTTTATACTGAGTCCATAATTCATATCAGTCACACTTATACCATTATGAATTACCACTGTTATTGTTATATAGACTGCAATTTATATGATTAGCATTGTCATGTTGATAATATTAAGATAATTCTAGAAGGAATATTATTTTTTAAATTACTTTTTTATTGGAGTTACATTCTACCCTTTCTCCAGACAGACAACTGGGGTATGTTCTTTCATTTTACTGACATTAGAAGTTTTGGAAGACTGGGCTGAAAAAGAATGATTAATGCAAATTCACCAGATGAGTTTCCATGGTTTAATGTGCTTGGGTTCTCTCTAGTGTTTATCCATCATCTTAATCATTAAAACATCTGTCTTTTTTATGTGGGTTGGGCTGGAGCTTTAAAGTCTTTGCTTGACAAATTATGTGCCATCAGGTCAGTGTCACCTTTTAGCAACCATGTAGATTTTCTTCATGGTGAGCCTGGTTCTTCATGTTTTCCAATGGTGTACCGACAGCTTTCTAACTGAGTTTATCCAGTTAATCTCTAAAGATAAACAATACTGGAGAAGACTCCTGCGAGTCCCTTGGATTGCAAGGCGATCAAACCGGTCAGTCTTAGAGGAGATCAACCCTGACTGCTCTTTAGAAGGCCAGATCATGAAGATGCAACTCAAATACTTTGGCCACTTAATGAGAAGGAAGGACTCACTGGAGAAGAGCCTAATGCTGGGAACAATTGAGGGCAAAAAAAGAATGGGACAACAGAGAATGGGGTGGTTGGATGGAGTCACCGAAGCAGTAGGCGTGAGCTTGAATGGACCCCAGAGGATGGTAGACGACAGAAAGGCCCAGAGGAATGTTGTTCATGGGGTCATGATGGGTCAGACAAGACTTCACAACTAACAACAGTCAAAACTGACTTTGATACTCAGCTTCCACTGATGTGCAACAAAGAGCCAATACAAAATTTCAAATGTTACAGTCATTTCAAAATTTGTATCTTTCTTATATTTGTTAGTTTGTATGATTAAGAATTGGAGGAGATCCAACATATATCTGAAGTTCAGGAAGGAAAAAATAGTAAACTGTAGAGCAGCCTTACTTGATAGTTTGATTATACCATCTTATAAATAATCTGGACCCCATCCTTTAGTCAAAAGAAGCAATAAATATGTGCTTGAATTTTATCACATGTCATCAGTGTTGTAGAGGATTGGAAGTTTTGTCTCTTATTCGCTTTCTGCTATTAAATTACAGTGCTGAAAACTTCTGCTTTTGTCACAGAGCAATTTGTGGCTGTTCTGGGTGTTGCAAAATGGAGGAATTTCAATTGGCTACCACCTCTTTGTATACCTTATAGGTATGTCTTTACTGAATTAAGAATTTATGTTTTAATAGAGGTCAATACACAAATGGCTTGGTTAATAAATGGTGACTTATTTTTGTAAAGTTATATGGCTCAGTAAGCTGTTTAGTGTTCTTTGATGAAATTCCATCAGAATAAATGATCATTATCATTCACCAAATACTTTTCATGCCAACAAACAATGTAAGTTGTTTGATACTCTATGTTTCTTGATTTGTTTTAGCAACTAGAAACCCTAAAGTCAGTTGCTATGTAGTTGTGGTTTCTTGATGTTATATGCCGTTTTGGTCATGTTTGCTTTTGTAGATTGCAGAGATGGACCATTGGTCTTACCTGAAGGGTCGTTTTCAGGGCGCTGCAAAGGAGAGTCCAAGCAAGGGTTAAATACAACCAAACTGCCCAGAACTGAATTGAAACATTAAGCCACGCCTCTGGTGCTGATTATCTTCAGATTTTTTCAATGAAGACATGGAACCGTTGTGCGCTGAGAAGTCCAACAATGGAATCCAATAATCACAACAATAAACAAGTCCAACCGGAACAACCAAACTTAACTTGATAACAGCGGAGCTAGACCCCCGGGTGGGGTGGACTCTCCTTCGCAGCGCCGTGAAAATGACCCTTCAGGTAAGACCAATGGTCCTTTTCCAGAGCGCTGCTCAGGAGAGTCCAAGCAAAGGACATACCCAAGCTAAATGTCACTAGGGCAGAAGCAGTAGCAGTCAGGGTCTCTCCGCTGGAATGAATGCCCTGCAGCACACGCCTCCCAAAGGCCCCTTCCGCTGAAGCAAACTTGTCTAGCTTATAATTCTGCACAAACAGAGACAAAGAAGTCCAGGTGGCCGCTCTGCAAATTTCCTCAATCGGAGCCGAGTCGCCCAGGCTGCCGTGATGGCAGCGCTCCTAGTAGAATGTGCCATGATGCGACTGGACACCGGTTTGGACTGCAGGACATGAGCGAGGGCAATGCAGGCCCTAAGCCACCCACCAATGGTAGACGAAGACACCTTCCTGCCCTGAGATGACGGCTGGAAGGAAACAAATAGTGACTCAGAATGACGAAAACAGGCAGTACACTTGATGTATCTGCGGAGCGTCCTGCGTACATCCAACTTGTGCCAGCATTTCTCACGGGGATGTCTGGGATGTGGACAGAACTCAGGGAGGATGACCTCCTGAGCTCGGTGGAACCAGAAATTAATCTTAGGGATGAATGATGGATCCAGTCTGAGGATCACTCTGTCTTGTTGAATCGGGCACAAGTCCTCACAGACAGACAAGGCAGCCAACTCAGAAATACACCTAGCAGAAGTAATGGCAATGAGAAAGGCGGTTTTAAACGTCAAATGCTTCATGCTGGCTGTCCGGAGGGGCTCAAATGGAGACTCGACAAGGGCACGCAAGATCCCAAGTCAGGTATCTGTGAACTGCCGGAGGACTCAGGTTAGCAGCTCCCCAGAGAAAACTGAAAAACTACGGATGGTGGGATGATGGCCGAGGGAAGACAGACCGTCAGGAGCCAGGATGGTGGAAAGCGCCACCACCTGATGGCGGAGAGTGTTAGGCGCCAAGCCCTTGTCAAGGCCGTCTTGCAGGAAGTCCAGAATGATAGGAACCGAAGCTGAGGGAGCCGAAACGCCATGAGTAGAACACCAGCGGACGGAACTTTCTAAAGCCTTTTAAAACTGCCGCCAAGTCTAGGAAGAGCCCTGAGGAGCTGCACCGCACCGCACGCTGTCCTCCAGAAGGCACAGACAGCAGCCACAGAAACCTCAGCGGGGAAATTCCCCCCCCACAGTGGGGGTTGCAGCAGTGCTGGTGTTGGCACTCCGACCCACGCGCTTCCCCAACAGCTGCCTGTGTCCCTGATAACGCCTGGGTAGCAAGCAGGACGCCAGGGGGGACAAGGGGTGAGAGAGAAACCTAATTACTGGGAGAAGTCGATAAAGCTCACCAAGCTTGCTCACACCTTAAATCCAATCCGTTCTTAAATTAAGCTCAATGGAGAGTCCATTGAGTCCATTTCTAACCATAAGCAATATGGTTAGAATTGAAGACAAACTCTAAGCGCGTCCACTGGGCTAGCTGAATTGAAAAAAAACCTGAAGATAATCAGCACCAGAGGCGTGGCTTAAAGTTTCAATTCCGTTCTGGGCAGTTTGGCTGTATTTAACCCTTGCTTGGACTCTCCTTGGAAAATGCAACTTGACTGAAATGACACAGAAGTATCTGTAATACATGAATTAGTAATCTTGAGGTTTAAAGGAAACAGAGTCTGTACATCTTACACTTAAGATAGGCCATTTGGAAAAGTTGGGGAACAATTTCCAGAAGAAAAAATGACAGGAAATATCTAAAAAGTCTGTAGAAATTCTATCATCCAGGTCATGGTTGTTGTTTTTTTTTAATTGATTTATTGAGCATTTATAGGCCGCCCTTTTCCCTGAGGGGACTCAGNATGATGCGACTGGACACCGGTTTGGACTGCAGGACATGAGCGAGGGCAATGCAGGCCCTAAGCCACCCACCAATGGTAGACGAAGACACCTTCCTGCCCTGAGATGACGGCTGGAAGGAAACAAATAGTGACTCAGAATGACGAAAACAGGCAGTACACTTGATGTATCTGCGGAGCGTCCTGCGTACATCCAACTTGTGCCAGCATTTCTCACGGGGATGTCTGGGATGTGGACAGAACTCAGGGAGGATGACCTCCTGAGCTCGGTGGAACCAGAAATTAATCTTAGGGATGAATGATGGATCCAGTCTGAGGATCACTCTGTCTTGTTGAATCGGGCACAAGTCCTCACAGACAGACAAGGCAGCCAACTCAGAAATACACCTAGCAGAAGTAATGGCAATGAGAAAGGCGGTTTTAAACGTCAAATGCTTCATGCTGGCTGTCCGGAGGGGCTCAAATGGAGACTCGACAAGGGCACGCAAGATCCCAAGTCAGGTATCTGTGAACTGCCGGAGGACTCAGGTTAGCAGCTCCCCAGAGAAAACTGAAAAACTACGGATGGTGGGATGATGGCCGAGGGAAGACAGACCGTCAGGAGCCAGGATGGTGGAAAGCGCCACCACCTGATGGCGGAGAGTGTTAGGCGCCAAGCCCTTGTCAAGGCCGTCTTGCAGGAAGTCCAGAATGATAGGAACCGAAGCTGAGGGAGCCGAAACGCCATGAGTAGAACACCAGCGGACGGAACTTTCTAAAGCCTTTTAAAACTGCCGCCAAGTCTAGGAAGAGCCCTGAGGAGCTGCACCGCACCGCACGCTGTCCTCCAGAAGGCACAGACAGCAGCCACAGAAACCTCAGCGGGGAAATTCCCCCCCCACAGTGGGGGTTGCAGCAGTGCTGGTGTTGGCACTCCGACCCACGCGCTTCCCCAACAGCTGCCTGTGTCCCTGATAACGCCTGGGTAGCAAGCAGGACGCCAGGGGGGACAAGGGGTGAGAGAGAAACCTAATTACTGGGAGAAGTCGATAAAGCTCACCAAGCTTGCTCACACCTTAAATCCAATCCGTTCTTAAATTAAGCTCAATGGAGAGTCCATTGAGTCCATTTCTAACCATAAGCAATATGGTTAGAATTGAAGACAAACTCTAAGCGCGTCCACTGGGCTAGCTGAATTGAAAAAAAACCTGAAGATAATCAGCACCAGAGGCGTGGCTTAAAGTTTCAATTCCGTTCTGGGCAGTTTGGCTGTATTTAACCCTTGCTTGGACTCTCCTTGGAAAATGCAACTTGACTGAAATGACACAGAAGTATCTGTAATACATGAATTAGTAATCTTGAGGTTTAAAGGAAACAGAGTCTGTACATCTTACACTTAAGATAGGCCATTTGGAAAAGTTGGGGAACAATTTCCAGAAGAAAAAATGACAGGAAATATCTAAAAAGTCTGTAGAAATTCTATCATCCAGGTCATGGTTGTTGTTTTTTTTTAATTGATTTATTGAGCATTTATAGGCCGCCCTTTTCCCTGAGGGGACTCAGGGCGGCTTACAATCACAAAGGAAAGGGAGTGTAGGACAGTGCAAAAAGAAATGTGAACAAAAATAAATTAAACAATAAAACTCAACATTCACGCAACATTCGGGAGGGGCGAAAATAGGCTTAGCCCCAGGCCTGACGGGCTTCGGCATTTAGTCATGCTGGCCACATGACCACGGAGACGTCTTCGGACA